CTTGTCGTCCCATTTTTGGCACGGGAAGGACCACGCACAAAGCCAGGTAGTGTAGCACTTGCTCGTTTGCGATACTAACCGCAAACTCCTCCGAGCGGACTGTTAATATTTCAATCACGGGAATGGTCAATGACTCGTCATTGTTGGTAAGTTTATCATTGTAGCCCAGTAATCGATCCGCAGCCAAACGGACTTCCGCAGCCAGACGGAATCGAACCGGTGACCAAGGCTGTAACAGCCAGGTGCCTTTACCACTGCAACGGTGACCCGGTGTTCAAGACTGAAGCCATAACGGTCGTGACATTCAGCCCACCCCAGCACCATTGCAGCAAGGACTTACTCGTCAACACGTGACATCCATGAGATCTTCTGCAGGCAGCAGCATCCACGCAGAATCCAAGATCCTCCACAGTTGCCGATCAGCATCCCATACACCGAACTCCAGGTGAACATCCCCTGGCTGGTTAATGGGCTCGTACCTGTTGGTAAGTTTATCATTGTAGCCCAGTAATCGATCCNAACTCCAGGTGAACATCCCCTGGCTGGTTAATGGGCTCGTACCTGTTGGTAAGTTTATCATTGTAGCCCAGTAATCGATCCGCAGCCAAACGGACTTCCGCAGCCAGACGGAATCGAACCGGTGACCTCAGCTGTAACAACCAGATGCCTTTACCACTGCAAAGGTGACCCGGTGTTCAAACAGTTCCCTTGCAGCGAGTTAGTAGATGAGAGGAACAAACAGTTCCAGAATCTTACCTTTAACTCTGTCCGCCTTGCTTAGAGTGGCCATCAGTTTAGCGAGGGACAGAAATTTGCACAAAGATTTCGCTTGGTTGCACAATGAAGAAGGCATTCCGTCACTGCCCAGAACAGATTACATTTCAGATATTCCGTTTCGTGGCACAAAGAAGTTCTTTTTCATTGTTGTTTTTATTTGCCATTATGATACCATAGACACCTAAACAGGAATTTTACAAAACGATTTCAAGGAGTTATAATTGCATTATGGGCCAAGATACAGTTTGCAACTGCATTTTGGGCACCCTACCTGGGGTGAGGTCCCATTAGCAGTCGAAGAGGAGTGTGGTCTATCCAGTGTGACACTGAGTGGCAGCCGGCTGACAGGTTCATTACGAATTTCTTGGCTGAGAAAACAGGAGAAAGGCAAAAGAAAAAAAAAAGAAACAGAGACCTCCCACCGGAAATCACGGCAGAGTGCTTACCAGCCATCAGATCACAAATGATCTGATGGTGGTTGCAACAACAGTGAACAAAGCAGCCTACACATTTTCGACTGCTGTCAGCAGTGATCCTGACACCCTCCATATACTCCGTGATTGAAGGAGGGCTCCACCCAATGAGATAATTGCACAACAGCAAGTAAATACTGAAAATCTTCTATCCAATGGGCCTATGGCAGACCCCACCCTCTTTTGGATTGGCCACACCCCCAACCGATTGAAAAGATTCTGGAGGGAAGCTTTCTTTGCACGGGCATGTGTTAAGGAGAGGAGGAGGGGAACAAAGATCTCCTTACTTTTTCGGGTAATACATGTCAAATACTGACCGTGGGATCACGAGTACTGCACTGCAGAATTTGGGTCACTCAACTTCCCCGCAAACTGGTTTCTATCCTATCCCGTTGCTAGTGGGACCTCGCCCGTGGCCAGAAAGCTGAGTCGTATACATTGCCCGAACTGCAATTCGAAACTGTATATTGGCCACCCAAGAGCCTAGCTCAGTGGGTACACCCATGAACTTTTGAAAATACAGACCCGTGTTCGAATCCAGATGATGATGGAACTTGACGAGTGAAGTTGTAAAACCAAATGTTTCTGACGCCGTCGTCCTTTATTTAAAAAAAGGAAAAAAAAAAAAACTGTATCTTGGCCGGCAATGCAATTATAACTCATTTTTATGACTCCCGCGTAGTTTCCCCTTTGGGGGGTAAAAGGCACTTCCTCTACGTCTGCCACTCCCTTACTTCGATAATAATATCACCGACGGGCCTTAGCTTAGCTGGTAAAGCCAGTAACTCTTGAATTACATACCCGAGTTCGAATCCAACGTCAACCAGATGAACGGAACAGAACTACAACTGCTGTCGGACCATTACTGGACGGAACTGACGCAAACATCGACCAGATACTCAACAAATATTGACGAATATCGCGCCCAAAACATCGTGAATGCATCGACCAAATTACTCAACAATATTGACGAATATCGCGCCCCAAAACATCGCGGATGCATCGACCGAATACTCGACAAATATTGTCGAATATTGTCGAATATTGACGAATATCGCGTCCAAACACATTGTGAATGCACCACACGAAGAGAATGGTGGAACCCCCAGCTTTCGACCTTTTCTTTTTCGTGATGAGTGGCACATCCCGGAAACCGGTCCGGGTCCATCGTCCGATGAAACATCCTCTCAGGTATGAATGAAAACCAGAACTTGGCGGAACAGCATTGATTACCTCTTCGTCCATAGAGAGGGATTGACTGCCTAGCGCAGGATGAAGATGTAAGCTTGCCCCTTGAGCCCTGCGTTCCCAGCTCTCGACTTTACCCTTTACTACTGCTATTATTGGCTGCTAGATGCGTGCTATTTGGCCACGACGCAGGTGTATCATAAGATATGAAACAGATACACAACAAAGCGTGGAACACGGGAGCAAATAAAAGCGAGAAACCATAAGCGTTCACTATCCTGATAGATCGGTTCGGCGACACACAGAGAAGAACATCTCGAAACAAAGAAAACGGAACGACCAAAAACAATCAGGACCAACCGCGAGAAGAGGGAAAAGGAGGGGAGTTGGGGGGGAAAGAACATTCTGCGGCTCTCCACATCGAGGTGAAAACGCACGAACACACACACACACACACACACACACACACACACACACACGCACACACGCACACATTCACACACAGGCATGCGCTCACACGCACACACGCACACACACGGACACACACGGAACGCACACACACACACACAAACACACACGCACACACGCACACAACAACAACACACACAAAACACACACAAACACACAGGTGGACAGCCCGGTTGGTCTTCGCACGCGACGCCGGAGGGAGGGGGACAAACAGCAATTTGAAAACCAGGCAAAATTCAGCCCATGTGACTGAATGATACAGGCATCTAACGAGTAATAAACAGATCAGCAGGACGAATCTTAACGAATCAGATCAAGGTAATGCAGTAATACCAGGTTGCAGCCTGGCGAATCAGGTCGAATAAATAAAATTTGAGTCGCACGCGGAGGGTAAAGCGGCAAAAAAACTGAAAAAAAACGAATATTCTTCGTCAACAACACAATAGCAATTTGCGTCAACGTTAAAAAAAACACGGAGCACCGCCACGATGAAAAAACGGAACCAACCTTGCCATCGTCGGCGATGATAGATGGGTCAATCAATCCTTCAAGTTGATGACCATATTTCTCTCTCGCGCTTGATTATCAACCAACCAGCTTCTCCAGAATGTCTTCTAAACTTTCTCTCGTTCGTTTACAAGTTTCCTTCCGATTGAAAATACTGCTGCTCCCAAAACAAAAAAAAAAAAAACTGCTGCAACATACCTCCAAAGCTATCAATACGTCAAAAATGTTATGTCAGCAACGCCAGTGTCACATATATTACGGCAATGTTATATACAGGTTATATACATCCCTGTCCGATCGATACATGACCGGCGACCGATAAAAGTTAACCCCCAACCAAAAGTGCTACTTTTGAATCTAATCAACGAAGGATTCAAACTAATTACCGAAGGACCAACCTATTCAAAGGATAATCTAAACTCAATCCAGGAAGGATAGGATAAACGTAATAGTAATAATCGGAGGATAGCGCTAATCGTCTTTGTTAGTTCGGAGATTTTGGGGCCGTGCGAGTTCAACTACGGTGTTAGTTTGAGCGTTAGGTCAGTAGATTAGGGGATAGAAAGAAGAGGTGATGAGGGGGTGGAGATGGAGCAAGCAGAAAACGGAGATCTCACCCGATCCTCGATGGAATCGCGTAGCATCCCTTTCACGTTGCCCTCGTTTTTTCCGCAAAGATGGACGGGAAGCAACGAAAGAGATAAGAACAGCCAGAGGCTGAGGATACTACCGTCTTCCCCCAAGCATAACGCACCCTGCTAATGAATGTACCGTAACTATATTTCCGGTCAATCAGGGTGCATTGTGTTCGGGGGAAGACGGTAGAGAGACGTAGAGAGAGAGAGAGAGAGAGAGAGAGAGAGAGAGAGAGAGAGAGAGAGAGAGAGAGNGAGAGAGAGAGAGAGAGAGAGAGAGAGAGAGAGAGAGAGAGAGAGAGAGGAGAAGAAGAGCGTTACCCGGACCCTGCACCTGCATCTGCACCTGCACCGCCGTCTCCACCCGCACTCTGGTAAGGAAGGTACGGAGCGATTGCGTCGGCGAGTCCTTTGACGGTACGTGTCTGAGCGAAGACAGTGCCAGGTCCTGTGAATCGCGTGACAAATCCTTCAGAGCTGAAGATAGTCGCAAAGAGGGATCTCGATGCCTTGCCCACGGTGTAATCCATGTGAGATTGCCAAGCCACCAACGCCCCGTTGTCAATTTTGCGAACCTCCCCGGGGCCTAGGTCGTACCTGATAATGCTGCCGAACGAGCTCACCAGCAAGCGGCCTCGGCCAGATGCCCTCAGGACGAAGATGCCCTCCCCACCGAAACACCCCGTGACTACCCCTTGGGTGTGAACTCCGATCTCTATCTCCGGATCGCAGGCCAAGAAAGCGCCCTTCTGCATAATCCAGTCATCCCCTGAACCCTGGAGATGAAGCAGGATGGTTTCTCCCGGGACTGACGGGGCCAACAGCACGTCGCCACGTGTTCCGGGCGGCAGTTCCGGCTTGATGAAGAAGTGCGTCAAGAAAGCGGACGAACCTGCGCAGCAGCAGCGACAGCAAGCTTGACCCATGCCGCCTTCTAGCTCGACGCGCAAATCCACGTTATTGTGCATGGTCACCATCGCCCGGCCCACGGCCTTCAAGCTCGTTAGCCCATCCTCCTTCGCCACGATGGCCTCCACCGCAGAGAAAGCACCTTGATGCTTCAGCGTGTATTTGCCCAAAGGGTCCATCGTAGGCGCTGGAGTCGACAGATGCGCCTTCACAGGCTGCTGCTCGACAGCCGGCAAAGTGCTGTACTGCGCCATCCGGACGACAATACCGCAGCACGGGGGAGCACCAGCTCCTTGCCGACCGCACGGAGAGAAGAGAAAAGAAAGAGTTGCTAGCTAAGCGCTATTGCGAGAACCGCCCAGGGGAAACGACGGAACAAGCACGGGGGCCAATCCAAGTGAACGTCAAGAAGACTGCAGAAGACGAAGGTGGGTGAAGGTGGGTGAGGTGGACGTGATGACAAAGGGACAGACGGAACACTGAGTCGTAAGAAGGACCGAAGAAGTGAAAGGAACGAATAGGTCGAGCCGTCTGATGAAATTGCCCGCCGTCGTACCACTTGGGGGCGAGGTCGCACTTGCAGAATATCGAGATTGAACTGCTTTTTTCCGCATCCAGATTCAGGATATTTATCCAACCCCCTTTGCTAGTGGGACCCCACCCCGGGGGCCAGGTCCCACTAGCAGCGTTGAGCTGCCTCAACGCCTGAATCTGGACGTGTTTGTGGAGACGTGCAGCTCAGGAAACTCAACACCATTTCCGCAAAAGCGTATTCAGGCGTTGAGGTAGCTCAGCGCTGGTAGTGGGACTTGGCCCCCCGGGTGACAGGGGACCTGGGCCTGAATGGGAAAAAAAAAAAAAAAAAAAGGAACTGAAAGAAAGCGAGGCAGAGGGAAATTGCGGGGAAGGAGCTGATGTCCGAAATGAAATTGTGCCACATAAGAAGATCCTAAATGAAGAAGAAGAAGAAGAAGAAAGAAAGAAGATCCGATAGGCTGACTGTGCCCTTCGTTCAGAAAAGGTGGCGGTGCGGGAGAAAAACGCCACTGCATACCTTTCTCGGTCTTTTGGCTAAGATCAAGTGTAGGAGCTGTTCTGTCTGATCCTTGGTCCATCGGGCCTGCTCTTTTTTTTTTTTCGTTTTCCCTTTTTTGGAGGAAAGAGAGACAGACCCGGCTAATACCGATCAGGGGTATCCAGAGGACACAGCCCGTTGGCACTAAGTGCACCGCAGGCAGTCATGGGGCTTGAACCCACAGCCTCCTGAATGCCACTTGCGTGCCTAAACAACTGGGCTGTATGCGAGACTGTTGGGCATAGCCTCTGCTGCTACTCGATGAGGGGTGCGGGACTATGAGAAAGGGAGGCGCAGCTACTGGCAAAATGCTCTGTCTTTGCGTTAACCGGACCTCCACCAGCGGCCCCACCCCATCTCTGACTACCGATGTTGGGGTGGGGGGCAACATGATTTACCTTGCTTGCGAGGCCCTATGCTTGCAGGGGTCCCCTCTATATAGTCTTAGGAGTAGTGGTAGGAAGGTCGTGAAAGTCAAAAAGAATTTGAGGGAAGAACATAGTGTAGGTTTTTTTTGTTTTTTTTTTTTTGAAAAAAAAAGAGAGACAGGATCCAGCAGCCTAACTTAGTTGGTAAGGCAAGCAAGTGCTCAGGAGGTCGTGGGTTCAATCCCCATTGGCCTCATGTACCTTCCTGGGCATGCTTGGCGCCCGCCACCTAGAGAGAGACCCCCGATCGGCATTGAGCAGAGTCTGCTGATGTTCGTAGGGGAGAGGACCACCACCTGAGGGGAGGCACAGGGATTGGTCCTGTTGGCATGGTCCCTGATGCTACCGGCTGTCCCCTAGCCGGTATCGCCCACCTGCAGGTCGGGAGCAGCCCCCACATGTTCTCTCGTGAACACACTTCTGGCTGCTACAGGGTTCCCCGTGTGCCTACAATTAGGAGTAGTAGTAGGTATCACAACTTACTTTTAGGTTTTAATGGGCAGTTAATCCCCTCACTTGGAGGCTGCTCTTATCACCTCCACGAATAGGTTTCCCTCGGATGTTTGAAAAAAAAAAAAAAAAAAAAAAAAAAA